TTACCATATGTTCTTATGATTGTTGATTTAAATGATTTAATTATGACCTCTTATGCATAAATTGATGAAATACTATGGTTTTATGATGTTTTCCCTTATGAGCCCCTGTAATTCCCCATGTTTTAAAGTTATGACCAAAGGTTGTGGGATTTTAATTATGAAGGATGAGTTTTATGAAATTAAGCATGTATTGATAGATTTACATAATTTTATGATGAAATCCATATCTAACCCATGCTTTCTAAATGTTGATGATTGAAAGTGGGGTTTGAGCCTTGAAAGGTAAATTATGGAACTATGCATGTTCTTATGAAAGATATGGAAATGTTTTAAGGATGCTTTGAGACTAAAATGTCAATGATGATGTTAATGTTGTGTTATTGAAAGGATTTTCTCATAAACACATGAAAGCATGATGTGAAAGGTTTTCTCCCATAATAAGAATTCTACGGTTGAAAGGTTTTATCACCTAAATGAATAAATGATAAGGAGCTATCCTAATGAAACCTAGCTTAGATTGGATACTTAATTTTTCCTTTCCATGGATGATGATTTAGGTTGTATTGGCAAGATGACGTGCCTTTCCATTCATAATAAGAACAAGTAAGAAATGATTATTCCGTGAGATTTATGCTTAGCACCGAGAGGATATTGAGATGGAGGCTCTACCGTTAGTAGAGGTCAGGATTCTAGTAGCAATCTCATTATCCCTTACCTATGTGCCCCTATAGGACGATTGTCTAGATAGACATGTTATAGCTCTCATGGTCTCTATGTTTGTTAAGGATAATTCCCCACATTAACAATAAACTAAGGTTACTTCAAGAAGTATCTCTCATGAGTTCAAATGTTTTAATGACGTTAGCTTGCATTGGCCATGGTTTTATGAATTATGCTTTAGAACCCTTTTATATCATGTTTTATCTTGGTCAACGGCATGTCATGAAATGTCCCCTTTTAGCATGATTTAAATGTTTTATGCATGGCTATCATACTTGGTACATTGTTTTGTACTAACACATACTCTTGCCTACATTTCTCCAAATGTAGGGTTAGACAGACATGGTCCTTAGTTTCGTGGCTAGTGGTTGATTTCAAGATTTTTGAGCTTGGTGAGTCATCATTCTTCGAGGATGGATTTCCATTGTTTAGTTTCTTTCTTGTATTTTAGTTTTGGACATGATATATGGGCTAGGCCCAATTTCATTCTATTGTATTAGATGGCTATTGAGACAAGAGTTTTAGACTTTCGCTTTTCTTTTATAAAATTATTGGACTTGAATTGTGTTTTAATCTCTTATCTTCTATTTCTTATGTTATGAATGCTAAGTGGCTTGTTTGGGGTCTTTCAGGGTCTTTATGCCATGTTACATCTAGGGTTTACCACTGGGTCGTGACAAACTTGGTAATTAGAGCAAAAGGTTTAGAATGTTCTGAGGATTTCTCATAAGCCACGTAGAGTAGATTCTTGTTCATGAGTGAGAAGCGCGCTACATTTATGAATGAGAGGCTACAATATGTTTAGGAAGCTCCACTTCTTTAATTACTCTTAAGTAGTGCGATAGAGTTTAACTCTATAAGGTCTCTCTCATAATCCTTATCCAATGCTCTACCGTATATGTCTACTCAAAGAGCTTATGCTAGAAGGAATGTGAGGGAGAATGTGGAAAAAGGAGCTCCTCCCCAAGTACCTCAAGTTCCAGTCAATCCTTTGGCCTAGCAAGTGACTAATGTGGAGTTTAGGGTGGTTTTTCAAGTATTGGCTCAAGCCATGACGGCCCAAGGTGTATGGAACTTCACTAGGATGAACCCTCTGGAGTTTCATGGTTCTAAAGTTGAAGAAGATCCTTAAGAGTTCATTTATGAGGTTTATAATGTCTTGATGATTATGGGAGTGACGTCGGTGGAAAAGGCGTAGTTGTCCACTTATCAACTAAAAGGTGTTGCTCAAACTTTGTTCAACCAATGGAAAGAAGGGATTCCGGAAGATCCAGGTCCTCTTGATTGGGAGAAGTTTAAGGTTACTTTTATTAATAGATTGTTTCCCTTAAGATGAGGGAAGCCAAGGTGTTGAATTCATTAACCTTCAACAAAGAAGTATGAGTGTGAGGGAGTATGCTCTAAACTTCACACAACTATCTAAATATGCTCCAACAATGGTTGTCGATTCTAGGGTAAGGATGAGCAAGTTTGTTTCAGGTGTGTCTGAAATAGTGTTTAAAGAGTGTTGAACCACATGCTCATTAATGCCATGGACATCTCTCGTCTTACGGTTCATGCACAACATATTGAAGAAGACAAACTTAAGGAAAAGTCTAGGGAGACAAAGAGGGCTAAAACCGGTGATTGAAATTTCACTCATGCAAGGTCTGATGGACATGGTCGTCCTAGGTTTCGACAAAGGTTTTCTGGTCAAGGTTACCCCAATGCTCCTCCTAAGTTCAACAAAGATAAGGTGTCTAAACCTAAGACTCAAGGAGGGAATGGTAGTGGATCTTCATTGCCAATGTCTACTTGTGTTAAGTGTGGAAAGAAGAATGAGGGTAAATGCCTAGCCAGTACGGATGGTTGCTTTAGTTGTGGTAAGAGTGGTAATAAGATGAGGGATTGCCCAATGCTTGTGGCAAAAGGAAGAGAGGGAAAGCAAGCTCCTCTTAGTGGTTCGGGTACCCATGCTCCTAAGCAAAAATGTTTTATCTACTTCAGACTCGTGGTAAGAGAGAATGTTCTCCCGATGTAGTTACCCGTATATTAAAAGTTTTCAAACTCTATGTTTATGCTTTACTTGATCCCGGTGCTACCTTGTCTTTTGTGACGCCATATGTGGCTATCAGGTTTGATGTTCTTCCGGATGTGTTGTTAGAACCTTTTTCTGTCTCTACTCATGTTGGTGACTCTATTGTGGCTTAGAGGGTCTATAGAAGGTGTCGTGTTTCCTTGTCCCATAGAGTTACTCTAGTTGACTTGGTAGAGCTTGATATGTTAGACTTTGATGTTATTCTTGGTATGGATTGGCTGCATTCATGTTATGCTTCTATTGATTGTACAACTTGTATAGTCAAGTTTCAATTCCCAAATGAGCCTATCCTAGAGTGGAAGGGGGGAAATTCTATGCCTAAGGGCCAGCTTTTCTCTTATCTTAAAGCTAGAAATATGATTTCTAAGGGTTGCATTTATAATCTAGTTAGGGTGAGGAATGTAGATTCTGAAACTCCTATTCTTGAATCGGTCCCTATTGTTAATGAGTTAACGGAAGTGTTCCCAGATGATTTACGTGGTATTTCTCTCGAAAGGGAAATAGACTTCAGTATTGACCTTCTCCCAGATACGCATCTTATTTCTATTTCTCCTTACCGTATGGTTCTGGTAGAGCTTGTGTAGTCAAGTTTCAATTCCCAAATGAGCCCATCCTAGAGTGGAAGGGGAGAAATTCTATGCCTAAGGGCTAGCTTTTCTCTTATCTTAAAGCTAGAAATATGATTTCTAAGGGTTGCATTTATAATCTAGTTAGGGTGAGGAATGTAGATTCTGAAACTCCTATTCTTGAATCGGTCCCCATTGTTAATGAGTTAACGAAAGTGCTCCCAGATGATTTACGTGGTATTTCTCCCGAAAGGGAAATAGACTTCAGTATTGACCTTCTCCCAGATACGCATCTTATTTCTTTTTCTCCTTACCATATGACTCTGGTAGAACTTAATGAGTTGAAAGAACAATTGAAAGATTTGTTGGATAAAGGTTTCATCCGACCGAGTATCTCACCAAGGGGTGCTCCAGTTTTTTTTGTTAGAAAGAAAGATGGTTCTCTTCGTATGTGTATTGACTATCGTAAGTTGAACAAGGTGACCATTAAGAATAAGTATCCTCTTCCAAGGATAGATGATTTATTTGACCAACTTCAAGGAGCAAGTTACTTCTCTAAGATTGATCTCCGATCAGGTTATCACCAATTGAGGGTGAAAGAAGATAATATTCTGAAAATTGCTTTTAGAATCCGTTATGGTCATTTTGAGTTTTTGGTAATGTCGTTTGGGTTGAATAAAGCTTCGGTGGCGTTTATGGATTTGATGAATAGGTGTTTAGACAATACCTTGATATGATTATGATTGTGTTCATTTATGATATATTGATCTATTCGAGAAGTGAGAATGAGCATATTAATCATTTGAGGATTGTGTTGCAACATTCTCAAGGACCATGAAATCTTTGAAAGGTTTGGTATATGTGAGTTTCAGCTAATGTCCATAGATTTTCTTGGTCATATTATTTCAAGTTAGGGTATTGAGGTAGATCTTAAGAAGACAGATGTGGTCAAGAGTTGACCGAGACCTCTCCTCTTTCGGATATTAGAAGCTTCTTGGGCTTGGCCGATTACACTAAAAGGTTTGTTGAAGGATTTTCTTCAATCACCTCTCCATTGACGACTGACTCAAAAGAAGGCTAAGTTCATATGGTCTGAAGCGTGTGAAAAGAGTTTTCAAGAATTAAAGGATAGACTTACTTCCGCTCCGATTTTGACTTTATCCGAAGGGACATATGATTTTGTTGTTTATTGTGACGCCTCGAGAATTGGGTTAGGATGTGTGCATATGCAAAATGGGAAAGTTATTGCCTATGCCTCAAGGAAACTTAAGACTCATGAAAAGAATTATCCTACCTATGACCTTGAACTAGCGGCGGTTGTTTTCGCCTTAAAGATTTGGAGGCATTATTTGTATAGAGTTCATGTTGATGTTTTTATCGACCACAAGATCTTGCAATATGTGTTTAACCAAAAGGAACTAAATCTTCACAAAAGAAGGTTGCTTGAGTTATTGAAAGATTATGGTATGAGTGTTCTCTATCACCCCAGTAAAGTTAGTGTTGTGGCAGATGATCTTAGTAGGTTATTTATGGGTAGTGTTGCCTATTTTGAGGAAGATAAGAAAGATTTGGTTCGAGATGTACATAGATTGGCCCGATAGGGTGTTCAACTAGTGGACTCCACCAAGGGTGGTATTATGGTTCACAATGGTTCTGAATCGTCTTTAGTGGCGGATGTGAAAGCCAAGCAAGGTCTTGATCTAATTTTGGTTGAGTTGAAAGAAAGTGGTGCTTAAGAAGTTTGTTGAAGCTTTCTCCCAAGGGGGAGATGGTGTACTTAGATATCAAGGTCGTTTGTGTGTCCCTATGTTGATGACTTGAGGGAACAAATCTTGTTAGAAGCCCACAATTCTCAGTATTCCATTCATGCAGGAGCCACAAAAATGTACCGGGATTTATGGGATGTCTATTGGTGGAATGGGATGAAGAAGGACATTGCGGAATTTGTGATTAGGTGTCCTAATTGTCAGCAAGTGAAAGTTGAGCACCAGAAACTGGGAGGTTTGTCCTAAGACATTAGTATTCCTACTTGGAAGTGGGAAGTTGTGAATATGGACTTTATTGTTGGTTTGCCTTGCAATCGGCGACAACATGACTCGATTTGGGTTATAGTAGATTAGATGACGAAATTGGCTCATTTTATGCCCATCAAGGTTTCCTATTCGGTGGAGGATTATGCTAAGTTGTACTTAAGGGAAATGGTAATGTTTCATGGAGTGCCTTTATCCATTATTTCCGATTGTGGTACCCAATTCTCTCCTTAGTTTTGGGAGTCTTTCCAAAAGGGTCTTGGTAATCGTGTTAAGCTTAGCATGACCTTTCATCCCCAAACCGATGGACAAGCAGAGCGTCCTATCCAAACTTTGGAAGATATGCTGAGAGCTTGTGTGATTGATTTTAAGGGTAATTGGGATGACCATTTGCCATTGATTGAGTTTGCTTATAACAATAACTATCGATCAATTATTCATATGGCTCCATTTCAGGCATTATATGGTAGGAGGTGTAGATCTCCTAGAGGATGGTTTGAGGTGGGTGAAGTTGCATATAACACCCTGGAAACTAGTAGGCTTAAATAGAGCTTGACGTGAGGGTTAGAGTCATAGATATAACCTCCCAAACTTGAAATGAAGAGTTCCAGTTAAGAACATCAAGGTACGACCCCCCAAAGACCAACCAAGGGTTCTTGAGAAGGACCCTAATAGGCTGCCCAAAATAGTGGACCTACAGCTGGCCCTACGCCCCGTAGGTGGGAGATCCGTAGGTGGCCAACAAATTCCAGTCACCAACCCATGCCCCACCAGTACGGGCCGTGGGTTAGTCCATGCCCCGTAGGTGGGTGGTCGTAGATGGTGGCCTGGAGATGGTTTTAAGGAATAAATTAAGGGAACTTTGGGGTTTTCCTATTTTAAGTGGGATTAAGTGGGGTCATTTTAACTTAGTTTAGACCACCTATATAAAGACTTTAGACCCTTAATTAAGTCATTCCAAATCATTCTCTCAACTCACTAAAAAACAAACCCAATTCCCTCTCAAAAAGATCCTCTCTCTAGAAAGTAGAAGAAGAGGTTCAAAACTAGGTCAAGACTCCATTGTTTCAAGCTTGCTAGGATTTGTAATCAAGGTATGATGTCTTATTCATTCATGGACTCCTTTCATCCATGAAGCCCTCCTGTTTCCCCTAATTGTGAAAATGAATCCCCAATTCTAGTTAGGGTTCCTTCCTATATTGTGCGTATTTTTGTATGTTGATCCAATTCAGTGGATAATGGTTATTTATGATTGTTTATGATGTAATTACATGTTTTAGTATGATTATACATGTATTCTTGATTAATCTAAGATTTTAGGGTGAAATTGATATAATTGGGTTGTATGCCATGAAAGAAGAACTCAAGGGCTTAGATGTGATCTAAGATTGATGAATTACTTTATGAATTGCTTGAGATTAGAGCACCTATATATGAATTGCTTAAAAGTAAAGCTTGTAGACATGAATTGATTATATTAGTGTTTATATGGTGAATCATGATTGGTAATGATGAGATTGAGTATATATGATGATATATGACTAGAATTGCTTAAGAGTGAAGCATGTGATTAAATTGTCTTGATAATTAGGCACATATGATGACCAAGTGAAGTGTTTCTTGATAGTAAGGCTTGTAATATGAATGTGATTTCTAGGGCTTTGAGGGTAAAAGCTAATATGAATGAACTAAGAATGTTAAGGCTTTAAGAGTGAAGCTATTATGTATGTTGATTTGTATAAGGTATTATTGTGGAAAGACTTCACCCACATGACCTATATTTTGAGTATATGAGATCATGCATGTAATGATTTGATTACTTGAATTGTGATTATATCCATGTCTAATGTAGTCATTCTAGATGTCTTGATTTGATACGAGCTTTGACCCTTAAAAGGGAAGTTTATGATATTATATTATGCATGTTTTATGAAGGCTATGTATATGCTTTAAGAACACTTTGAGAGTCAAGTGATTATGACTATGATGTAAATGCAGTGTTGTTGAAAGGCTATTCTCACATACAAACTTATGCATGACTATGAATGAAGTGTCCATGATTATGATAATGTTATTGCGATTCATTGAAAGGCTATTCTTATGAACACATAATGAAGATTCTAGGTTGAAAGGTTTTCTCACCTAATTGAATCTAATGTTATATGTAGACATGGACGGTGAAAGGTTATTCTCACGCATGATCTAATGAGAAATTCTAATGAAACAAGTTATGACTTAACAAGAACCCCATGGGACTTATGCTTAGCATCGAGTGGATATTGATGTGAGATGTAAGGTCCCCCATCAAAAAGGACGGGTTTATAGTAGCAATCTCTTTATCCCATAAACTACGAGTCCCTGTAGGTTATTTAGCTATTGGATCCACCTAAAGCTAACACACCATGGTATTAACTTAGGCAAGTAAGACAACCCTTTTCGGTGTGGGTAACGCTGGATTCCATGTTAATCTCACATGGTCTATGTCGATTAAGGCTAATTCCCACTACCACAACACAAATATGAATAATGAATTATGGTTATTCAAAAAGCTTTACTTAGCATGGATGGGATTTATGGGGTCTTATTCATGCATTGCACAAGTATGCTTTAAGGTAGTCATGATATGTTCCTTTCATGTGATGATGATCTACGAAATGAACATGCTTATGACTTATGCTTTTGTTGTGTGCTTAGTTTGGATTGTAGCTTGAAAGGCCCATCCTAATGCATGTGTGACTAAAGATTAATGTTCCCTTGTCTATGAGAAATAAGCTAAGGATGAGGTCAATATGGTAAGTATGATTATGGTGGCCAAATGGGATACTTAGCATGGATGGGATTATGGGATTTTAGCCAAGCATTGTACAAGTACACTTGGAGGTTACTTATGAGGTAGTTCTCTTATGATATGAAGGTCTAAGTATTGACTATGTAAATGGACTATGCCTTATGATGACTAATGATTTCATTATGTCTATGTTGGAGATTATGCTTATGATTATGTTGTTATCTTTTATGTTTATAGTGTATGTCTTATAATGATGTCTCTTATGTTTATGACTCATGTTATAGTCTCTTATGATTAAGGTATATGTCTTATATTGACTAATGCCTCTTATATGCTTATGTTTATGATATATTCTAGCCATCATATTTAGTACATTATTGTACTAACGCATACGTTTGCCTACATTCTTATCAAATGTAGGGTTTGGCGATATTCAGTTCCATTCTCGTGGCTAGGTTTCTTGTAAAGCAAGGAATTGGAGACTTGGTGAGTCCTGATAGCATCGAGGATGTGATAACCTTTCATTTATGTCGTTCTTTTATGTTTTAGACTTTTGTATGGGTTGCGTCCCAAAGATTTATTCAAGTTGATTTAGATTGTTTGAGACAAAGTGTTATAGACGTCCGCTTGCTTTTATAAAATACTTCGATTGTATAGAAAAAGTTTTAAAATTCCGCATCATTTTATTTACTTTATGTTATGATATGCTAAGTGGCTTGTGTTAGGCCTTTCGGGGTCTAGTACGCCATGTTACATCTAGGGTGTACCATTGGGTCATGACATTGCGCTAATAGCTCCTGAATTTGTACATGCGGCCATAGAGAAAGTTCCACTTATTAGAAAAAGGTTGAAAACGGCTCAATGTCGGTAAAAGTCTTATGCCGATGTGAGAAGAAGGGATCTTGAGTTTGATGTTCATGATTGGGCTTACTTGAAAATTTCACCCATGAAGGGCATAGTGAGGTTTGGTAAGAAAGGGAAGCTTAGTCCCCGTTATGTAAGCCCACATCAGATTTTCAGACGTGTTGGTAAGTTGTTTATGAACTAGATTTTCCTAATGAGTTGGCATTGGTGCATCTTTTATCCTTTTTTCCATGTCTCTACGTTGAAGAAATGTGTTGAAGATCCGACATTTATAGTTCCCTAGAAGGTTTGGGAGTTAAAGAGAATCTTTCCTATGAGGAAGTTCCGGTGGAGATTCTAGATCGACAAGTTAAGAAGTTGAGAAACAAAGAAGTAGCTTCCTTAAAATTGTTGTGAAGGAATCAATTAGTTGAGGGTGCTACTTGGGAGGCCGAGGCGGATATGATGTCCCGATATCCTTATTTTTTCCTTCTACTCCTACTTTATCTTGAGGTAATGAGTTCCTGATGGTTTGTTCTTTGTTCTGAAGTCATGTGTCTTATATGTTTCCATGATTTCCTTATTTATGCATGATTCATGAAAAAACTCAAATTTTGAAAGAAATTGATTCATATGATTGATTTTCCTCATGTTGTTGTGCATTGAGCATCAGTTACCTATAGACTTCATGAGATGATTTGTTTAACATAAATTAACTATTATTTTGAGTATGAATTGCATAAAGGCTCCATGAGAAGATATTGAGCACGCTTTTAGATTGGAGAATGTAGTTCCTCCTTGAACATGAGAAATATTTAAATTTCATGCATATTGGGTTGCTAGGTATAGTTCATATTTCCCTTGTGATGCATTGAACATGTTAGCTTGGAGTTGATAATTTTCCTCCTCGGATATGTGCATTTTGAGGTAGTGCATTCTTGTTGGGCTGCTATTTTCCATCTTCTTTATCATGTTGATTATATTTTTGCTTGGAGTCAATATTCCTCCTTGGTTGTGTGCATTTTGATGCAATTGCACTCATGATGGGTTGGTAGATAGAGTCCTTTTATTCTAACTGATACCTAGAACTGCATTTGAGGACAAATGATCCCAAGAGGGAGATATTGTAACACCCCGGATTTGAAAAAGGTCAAGGTTGCTATTTTTGAAACTTATAGGAGCCAACCCATGAGGGGCCACCCATAGCCCGTGGATAGGACCACGTACCATAGGTGTGGTCCGTGGATGGCTCCCCAAAAAGAGTCAAAAAAGAGTGGACCTACTGCTTGAACCAACGAACCATTGGTGGGAGCACGGTCCATGGTCGAGGGCCCATGGTC